GTATTTTTACAGTCTTTATTTTACAGTTAAAATAAATGTTTATTAAACAAAGTCTAATGTTACAACTGATCCTGGATCCTTTGAGGTCTTTTTTAACTCGATGAATGAAACCTGTTGGACGTGTCCTCCAGGACTCCAGTCAGAGAGCGAGTGGACGGCAGGAACGGAGACCAGGTCCAACCTCTGAGATACCACCTGAACCCGCAGCTGGACGTCCCTCTGGCTCCGCCCCAGAAAGAGGTAACCCTGGTAACGATGCAGCACTGGCTCCGCCCCCACGGCTTCAGGCCTGAGTAACTCATAAATACAGTCTGATTTCTGACTTCATACAGTTTGTAAAGTCAAATCAGCAGGAAGCTTTGACTCATTTTATTAAAATGATATTTAACTTTAGAGTCTAGAAACACTTTGACACTGCAGCGTTCCTCCGAACAAACTTTAAACTTTAAATATTCATAAAATATAAAAGGTTTATTTTCATCTGTAATATTCTGACTTTAAAGCAGCAAAGTTAGAAACAAATAATAATTCCTGCTAAATGTTTTCTGGTGTCTTCATACAGTTTTTGTCTGAGTTTGTCAGGAATAATAAACAGTTTATAGTTTTTAGAGGAAGATGAAGTGAAACCTAGAAGAAAAACTGCGGCGAGTCGCAGGAAGTGAAACATGATGGCGGCTGATTATTGCTCCTTTTCTTCCTGTTTGATCTAACATCCTGCTGTCTGCTTCTGCTTCCTGTCTTCTCTCCTATCAGGTTCATGACAGACCTGCTCCTCCCACTAAGCCCCTCCCCCCTGACCCCGCCCTAAACCCCTCTCCGCAGGTAACTTCACCTGAACTTGGTGTTCTTCAGGTGTTGCTCCTCGGTTGTTTGTCTGGTTGTGTTTTGTGGTTAGTTGTTGTTGTTGTTGTTGTTTTGGTGGCGTGTTTGAGTCGTTGTTGTTTGTTTTTATTTACAAACGTGATTTGATTCTAAAGTTATAGGAATATTTCCTCTGAATTCTCCAGAGTATCTT